CGCTATCTTACAAAATTCATCATGAAATTTGTTTATGTTACGAGTTTATCGTGGGCCGAGTCGATCATTCGGTTGGAACGACCGCTCTAGGATAACTAATTTTATCCTGAAAAGGATATGGAGTGAAGGTGGTGTTGCAGCGAAAAAACACGGAAGCTTGGCTATAACAGTTTATTGTTCAGAGTCTTAACAATATTTTACGAGAACACGATTACACACGGTAGGCACGGGAGAGCCGCGAAGTGGTAAGTAATCGAAAATGCTGTACACGAAACCATATGGGCGATCGCGAAATTCGTTTACGCGAATCGCCGAATATCGGCACGAATTATACTCGAGCGTCGAGAGCGATTCATATAACACTTGTGGTGTTGCAGTGATTGATGCGTGAGTTGAAAACGAAAGATTTTGTTAAAATCTGCGATTGCTACAAAGGTTCACGACAGAATGTTCGGAGAGTAGCAAAGTTTCTATCGGTTTTAGTTCAAAATTCGTTGGGATTTTTCAGAGAAGCGCCGGATTGGTTCCAAGAATATCGATCACCGCGAAAATATCGATAGATAATCGATAGCTCGACGAGAGTTGCGCAGATTCCGTAAATACTCACACTGTCTTACTATTATTAACCAATTACTGTTACTATCAAAATAATTTTTACCTGATAAAAACAACTATAAATATTTAATGGAAATGTAAGTGAGTACATAAATATTTTTTAGAGAGAAAAGTGAAACAAAAATTTATACATGTGTGTCGAATCCACTGAACTCAATAGTTCAGTAGTCGAATCCCAGATTTGAACCACGGATCTGGAGATATTCAATACTAACGCTCTCCCACAATAGTTACTTCGATAATGATGTCGTTATCTTGTTTCCATTTATCAATATCAGACTACTGTTTTTTTTTTTAATTTATAAATATGTAAAATGCGTTGCTCAGAAGAAGGCCTCCGAAGTAGAGATGGCGTGCAAAATCACTAACGGTGATTTATCACAGTGATCACCGAAACACGATCACGGTCGTGATTTAACTTATTCATTCACGACCGTGATTGCGATTTCTTCTATCTTGAGTGAATTTGCTCACTGCAATTGTAAGGTCTATATCTTTAAACAGAAAAACGTATTCAATATGATTTTATGAATTATATTTATCTATTTGTGTTTTTAAAAATCAGTAGAAAAAACAAGAAATTCTAAATTAATTATAATCATTAATTTATTCATTAGTCTTCATTGCTTCTAATTATTCCTTTACTTGATACGATATAACTCGAATTTTTGTTCGGATGATGCTCTCTGCCCCAGTGCAGTGCAAAATTCGCATTCGGCTAAACAAAATCAACTGACCGAGGGCGAGTTTTATTGTCCTGATATTTTCAGCAGTGCGGTTCGGTGACACTGGTGACACGAGATTTGACACGAAATCGTGTGGTGTATAAGTACTGTAATTACATATACCTATAGAACTTAACGGCAATAGAAAACGCAATGGACCGGGAATTATTGCTCATGGAATTATTAAGCAGCAGTAGTAGTGATGACGAAATGGAAAATATTTTACTACACCACAAAAAGGAGGAGAGAAAAAAAATTAATCATTAGTTAGAAAATCTTTAACAATAACGTAATATTAACTTAATATTAATTTTAGATAAATCTTTTAACAATTTCATGCCCTTCCATTTTATTGTCTATAAACTACAAATCTAAAAATAAAATATGCATAATATGTATAAACTTTCTTTTTCCACGTTACCTACATTAACTTTGATATTTTTTTCTCTATTCTTGTATACTATTTACGTACCCTCGCATGCAAACTCGGCTTCCGCTAGGAGAAAAAGCGGCGTAGAGGAAAAGTCTTCTACCACTTGGTAAATTTATTCCAGGTAGTGAAATAAATGTTAAATCGAATGTTAATTTGGCATACATTTCAGTAATTCCCAATACCAAGTGATAGGAGAACCTGTCCCTACGTTATTTTTTCCCCTAGTGGAAGCCGAGTTTGCTCGTGAGTATACCTGTGTATTTTAACCTCGTTGTTTTTAGCATTAACTCACGCGTTCTGTGATTCAAATCAATTGCACGATTTCAGTGCGGTTTGACCCCTGTTTCGTCCCAGTGTTGCCCCATTTCAGTGCTGCACTGAGATAGCTCGCATATTATCCGCGCTACCCGGACAAGATGCTGCAACAGCACGTACAGAACGTGCTGGCAGCACTGTCTTAGGGCAACACTGGGCAGCACTTGTAATGTAAGAAAGTTTATTTTACTACCATATTGTAAGGGGGCTGAAAATAAATGTATGATTATACACGAAATAAAATAATAATTTATTAAAGAATTGTTCTCATGTATGGCCGGCAACGCAATGCCCACGCAATGAACAAATGTCCTGTCGCGTTCTCGACGGCATTTGTTCATTCACCACTCGCTCTCAATGGCCTGAACATGCCTTTCGATATAATTATGTCTTACAATATTTGACCTTGCATGACCTTCAATGATAGACCGCAATAAAAAAAATATAGCATTCCATTAAAAAAATAGAGATGACCTTGAAATCTTCTCTATGCCTTCACCCACGCAGAAAATGTTTGTGTCACAATATGCCCCCCTCTATACCGTGTAACTTTTGTGCATAACATTTTTTCATATTATTATAAATAACGGCAATATTCAAAGTGGACATAGCTATTGCCCCACCCAGTACACACAAATTATTCTTACAATTGGATGTTACCTTTATTCTAACCATTGCAGTACATACATATGAAAACATTGGAAGAAAAATCCATTACATTAATATGTTACGTACAGGAAAATGAAAACTTGGAAGATAATTTGAGAAGCATTTCTACTAAGTGCAGAAATCGCAGGAAAGTTAATCTTTTATTTGTTAAACACAAACCAACCTAACCTAACTCCTGTCACCTTGTACAGAATGAAACCTAACCGCAATTGTAAACATTTGGGAAATGTTTCTTATACGTTTTTCAAGACATTACCATAGCGTTTTTAAAATCTCTTTAAACGTTCCCAAAACGCACAGGGAGTGTTACTGTTATACATTCGGGAAACGTTCTGAGAATGTTGACACGGATGTCCTCAGAACGTTCCACTTTGTAAATAGAACCTTCCTAGGACATTTAAAGATCTTAACGAGGACCTAACTGGTACATATGGACCTTTTTGGGACATCCTCCGAATGTACAGAACGTCCGGAACGTACGTCCATCGGACGTACATAAGACGTTTTTGTGCTATTTGGAGTGTTACAATGGGCCACCGTGTAGTCTCGTTATTGCCTCCATTTACGATCGGGTTGCCCGCGTTTCGAGCGTTTCGGTCAGATACGTCTCACTCTAAGTACCCGATGCTCATATGCGTGCTTCATTGTCATATTCGGTAGTAGTACTATTATTCCAATTGCGGTTTTAACTATATATATCATTAATAAAAAAATCGAATTTTGAAAATGTATCTCAAATTAATATCTTCGAAACCATTATTTTACTGACATATTACAAAGTGAAATTATACAATAATTAAAAATAAAAACTAAAACCGTCGCATCGGGATTCGGTCAGGGTTTCGGACGGGGTCTTCATCATGAGCGCGTAAGAGAAATCATGCCGTTCTCGACGTCGGTCCTTTCATTAATTAGGTGCAATTATTCGCGCGGCGAATACATTATTGTCGAATATTTCAAAAGAGGTTGTTAGAAATTTCCCAGATTTTGAAAAAAGCATTTTAGCCGCTCAAAGAAATGAATATACCTACCGTGAATAAAGAAAATCCATATTGAGGATCGAACATTTGTGACATTATTTATAGAGGACAAAAAGAAAAGACGATGTGTTGTATTTCCATGCATATTTTCCATGCTCACAAACATCAAATCTAAAAAAATGCATACGCGTGGACCAGTTTAACAAAAAAATCTAATTTTGAAAATGCTTCTCAAATTAATATCTTCCAAGCTTTCATTTTGCTGTACGTAACATATTCATGTGATGGATTTTTCTTCCAATGTGTTCGTACTGCAATAGTTAGAATGAAGGTAACATCTAATTGTAAGAATAATTTGTGTATAGTATATATAAGAGAATATGTATTTGTGTAATATAAAATTTAAATATTAAGGAGGAATAAATACATCTTCCATTTTTGTAAAATGCTTCTAAATTAATATTTTTGAACCTTTTATTTTACTGGCAAATTACAAACTAAAATTACACAATAATTAAAAATAAAAAATAAAACCGTCGCATCGGGATACGAACGGGGTTTTGGACGGGGTATTCATCATGAGCGCATTAGAGAATTCATGCTGCTCTCGACTCGGCGTTTAGATTTCTTAGGATTTGGGATTTTTGACCCGACTTGAGTGACTCGACCGTCGCGTTGTAAACATGTGACGTAGAACTTTTGCCGAGAACACCCGAAACAGAGCGTACCCGGACAGAGGTAGAAAACGCTTATGTGGGGAGTCGCCGAGTAGGACGTAGTGGGGCAGAGTTCACGAACAGGCTAGATATTCTTGAGCAAAATACCCACGGGTGGCATGGAGAGGGTAAGCGCTCGCGTGAAAATCCCACGTCACGATACTGGCATCAGTGCATCAGAGTCTGATCAGAGTTCATCGGTGAAGTCCACGTCCAGTCAAACCTAAGTCAAACTACACAGTTGTACACGGTGCCACGCAGTACGCGTGCGAGCAAAGTGGCCTCCTTGCCCCTGTGCAGCCTGTGCCGTTTCGGCGTACTTCTTCCGAGCAATGTACTTTACTTATGGAGATTGATTTTGAAATTTAATTTAAAAGTACAATGTATATACCTCGTAACATTGACGTAATATAACTGTACATAGTAATACAAATGTAATCATTAATGCACGTTAGTATTACTCAGAACGCATAACCATTTAGATCACCTAACGAAATATATATGTGTGTATATACATATATTATATACGATTGATATATTGTTACGTGTATCAGTAACAGCTTCGCGTCTTCAATAAATTTATACTGATAGGTATATCTACTTTTTAAAATTGCAACACTCGAACAAAGTGTTTCAAAGTTATAGATGTGGTAATAGAAATCTCTTACAAATTATTATTTGCTTAAAACCATTCAATTTAACATTTGTATACGTTTTTATTTTAATAATACATATAAGATAATTAATTAAAAAAATATCGAATTTGTATATTAAATATTCTATTGCCTAAACATCTGGTTTAACCATACTTTTACATCGAATACCATGAATTATGGTGTAATTATATAAAACAACTAATTGTCCAAGGAATGATGCAGCGTGCTATGCTAAAATGGAATAACGTGCCTACCCAAGTGATAACAGAAGGTCGCTGGGTGGAAGAAGGTCTTTTAGGATATGGTAAAAAAGATGTGGTAGTTGTTATACCAGGTAACCCTGGAATTCCAGAATTTTATGAAGGATTTATAAAGTCTCTGAAAACAAAACTTCCTACTGAAACACCTGTTTGGGTAATTGGACATGCAGGGCATGTACAACCCCCAAACAATTTAACAATTACTATGCCAAGCGATTCAACTTGGACTGAACATTATAGCTTAATAGCCCAGCTGGAACACAAGGTATTTGATAAGATTTCAATTTTTTTCTTAGAAAAACTATCTATTTGTTTACAATAATTTAATTACAGAAAAGTTTCATAAAGAAATATGTACCAGAGGATGCCAAGTTGCATCTTATTGGTCATTCAATAGGAAGTTGGATAGTATTACACATGTTGGAAGATGATTCTATATCCAAAAGAGTAAAAAAATGTTATTTGTTATTTCCGACTATAGAGCACATGGCAACAAGTAGTAATGGACAGTTTTTCACTAAAATCGTAAGTACAGTTGATACAATAGTGTGAAACAAGAGAAGTGAGCTACTTTTTTTTCAGGTGTCACATATTGCATTCTTTCTGATCTTTCTCTGCTGGATTCTTTCGTGTTTGCCAATTTCTTTGCAACTGTTTGCCGTCAATATTTTTGCACCCTTGTATGGCATTCCCAGAAAATGCACCAAAGCAGTACATCAACTTCTAAACCCTCGTAATTTAAAGAATGTGTTTAGAATGGCGAATGAAGAAATGCAAATAGTAAAGGAGAGAGACGACCATATACTCGTAAAACATGCAGACAAGTTATGGTTTTATTACGGTAACTGCGATGGTTGGACTCCAGTTCAATATTATAGAAATATGAAGTCCAAACATCCCAACATGAACGCAGAACTTTGTAAGCATGGTTATCATCACAGTTTTGTTTTACAGTTTGATAAGGAAATGGGTTACATTGTAGGAAATTTAATTAGCGAAAATATATCATAGTGCTAACTAACAAATAATTTTTAATACTAATTACTACATAGTCTTTCAGATTTTTTATGATATTTTTAAATTGTTGATAATTTATTAATGCTTCTTGAACTTATCAAATTACTAAATTCACTAACAAAAGTTAGAGATGTATGTTTCAACAAGAAAACACTCACCAAGTGTAGGATAAAAATTGGAAAATTAGTATACTTTTGTATGTAGTTATTTTGTGTTTCGAATTCTTTTTGTCTATAATTTTCATTAACCCTTGGACATCGGACGGTTTTGATGTTAATACAAACGGGGAAGCTTCGGAATCTCTTTAGACTCATATACAACATTTCTCCTAAATATATTTTTACATATATTTGATGAGTTAGATGAAGCTCTTTAAAATTCAGGTCAGGATGGACCGGGGTATCGCCGTTCAAGGTTTAATACAAGTATTATATCAAACACACATCTTCAATTTCTTGTATAACATAAATAAAGTCAATTTAAAACATTCTCTCATGTTTCAGTCGAACTGAGAAGCTAAAGAACGCGATCAGATTATTCATTGAAGCCTCCTGTATTAATATTATTCAGTCATTGTTGCTCTAGCGATAGTTAATGAATATGTAATATTTTTTTGAAACTGGCGCCTAAAGGTATAGTAGCGCCGTCTGGTGACAAAATATGTTCCAATTTGTGTAATGGTTTAGACGCTTTGTAATAGATGTCTCTGTGGATCTTGAGGATCAGTTCTTAAAGAAAAAATGAAATATTTATTTAAAACACCAGAACTGATACTTATTAAGGCAGAATATCGATTCCAGGAAATACAAGAAGCAGTGTAATATTACTAGACAAGATATTTAATACGAGATGTCGTTAGTGAAAATGGCGACATACCTGACCTCTTTTGAGTCATACTTGTATTTGACACAACATTTAACAGCTGCAAGCTGCAAGTTGCGGCATTCTCGTGCATGCTGGTGCGTGGACAGTGAAAGTACACATTTAAATATTGCAAGTTTGTGAATCAGTGCAGCGAGATTGTGCATTCAAAATTTTGGATAGTTAATATATTTTGATACTGAAATCTTTTATCATGATGTTGCGGGCTAGTACTTTGCTACTGCTTTTTTGCATTAATGCGGGGTTATCCAATGGTGAGTGCAATATTTACTACTATTATTTTTTTAAATTAAACGTACATGCTGATTTTATATGCCGCTAGACGCACTAACTGTTTACATACACTTCTTAAACATTTTTATAAACACATTTTCTTAATGTGTTCTCTTAGAGGTCATCTTTCTTTGTTCACTTTATATGTATTTCTAGAGACAAACCTAGCATGACAAATATTTTTTGGAAAATGGTAGCACTTATTTGAAGCCTTCCTTTGTTAATGGAGAAATTCGTTTTTGGAAAGAACCGTGTACTTCAGTGGTGTCGTTTATTCACATTGCCCACATATACAATTTACGATTGAGAATGCGTGTACGTATAATGTATGTGTATGTATGTATACATATATAGGACATATATTCACGATTGTTGAATCCCGCTCACCGTGTCGAGATGGTTTCATTATCACACTGAATTGTACATCGAGTAGCAAGGTGTCTGTTCGAATTAGCTTGAATTTCAATGTAATTAATTATCTTAAATGTATTTTTTAGCTGTGGAAATTATTTAAAAGTATTGTGTCGTCAATACATTTTTTACCAAATGAAATTACACTTAGATTGTAGCATTATTAAAACAATATAGTAACTTAGAGCGACTGAAATAATATATAATATTATAATTTTCTATTTGTTGACAATATTATGGATTGCAATTATAGTAAATGAAATTACTTAATAGTTCTTAATAAATTCGTAGTCCCTGTTTAAAAGACCACGTGTCTTAGCTAATCGAAAATTTAATTGTGTAATGCGAGACATATTACAGAGCGATATTGTGTGGAGATTATGAAGCATTTAATCAATAGATAATAACGATAACATCACAGACTTTTCATATACATACCTTCAAAAATTTCGTTGGCTTATTCAAATTTGTCTACAGTCTACAGTACACATTCTGTCAGTCACATCTGTTCATACACTACATATTCTGATCTATACATTCGTCGTAACAAAAATTTAAGCCGTTCACGATCACGTTTCATAGAAATTATGGTGCGTACTTTGTACCGCATACAATACATATACTTTTGTATATCGTCCTTAAACGTGCGAAATACATAGCATACATACATGGTGTAAACGTATATCCAAATCTAAAAATTCTTTGCTTAACTAAAAATATACATTTCGTTTAATTTATTTTTAATTTTCTGAAAGAAGTGAAAGAGCAAAAATTGCTATTAACAATATTAGCTGCGATGTGTACTTATTTAATCAACTGCCGATCGATCAGATGTTACTAAACGATTTGTATAACAATGACTATTATACAAATAAGTTTCCATGTAAATAAGTACAGAGAGGCCAAATATGTACATATAATACGACAGAGAACTTCTTCAATAGAGTGATCGCATTATCGTTTTTAAAATTGTTTAAGTTCCATATATGTATTATACATAATTATGTTTTTAGGAATGGAGTGTTCATTAGGACCAAAGAACTTCCTGGAAAAAGTTATTGATTCCTGTCCGACAATTTTTGACACGTCTGATAAATCTTTCTGCTGTTTCAATATCGAGAACAATAAAACATATTGTTGCGATGCTACGGAATTCGCTATGTTATCATCGTGGTAAAAACAAATAATCATCTTTTTCGCTTACAAGTATATCCACACAATTAATAAGTTACAATGTGAAAAAGTTTCGAAATTTTGTCGAAATCGAGCATAAATAGAGGCGTGTACTAATATACATGTGTCAAAGTTCCCTTTGTCCCATTGCAGGGTCCTTATCACAGTGATCGTGGTAGTCGTCATAGTGTTATTGCTGGTAGGGTTCTGCGTATCCTGCTTGTGCTGCGTATTCTGCCGACGGCATCGCAGACGTTATCAGGGAACAGTATACGGACGTGAGTATCTTTTTATATGATAATTGTATCCTGTCGGTGTGAAGTTATCTCAGTCAACGAACTCTAACTCGAGAATCTAGAACGACACTATGGGATCGTCGGCGATCCTGCTAAATTTTAATCTTGTCTACAGAAATGCAAATAAACATTGAAAGATCAATCGAATTGTTTATCCTCTCAATCTGTGCCATACTTTATGAAATATCAGACAGAAAAGAATTTTGTGTTCATTTTTATTAGTTTAATGAGCGTTAGGGTTGTCGGTGACCTCGTGGTAGCTAACGTAACGAAGATGTATGTATCTTACATTGAGTCACCTAAAGCATTTAAAGCAAATAATGAGTTGTTTTTTTTTTAATTTATGAACAATTATTTTAAAAATATAAAAATATTACAACATTACAATTTTAAAATATAAAATGTTCTTGTTTCTTAATACATTGGAATGATAAAGTAATAGTCGTTTGAACTTGATTGAAAATATTTTCTGTTATGTACCCACTACTTCGAAATATCGGTTATAGAGTTGCAACTTGGTATGTTAGAAGTAATGCTTCCTTTTTCAGTTACATTCTAAGAGCGTAAATAATTGACTAAGTCAGTAGAAATCACTTTGTATCTTTGAAAGTCTTACATCGTTTGAAGCCGTCAGTGCTAGAAAAAATATTTTATGGAACGCTGGATATTACCGCCGCAGATTCATTTATAATTTGTAACTTAAATACACAACTGTCAGTAAAACGTCATGATGACATACAGAAAGCATCACTCGGTCTATTAGAAGATCACGTCAAAGTTCGTGTATCAGTCGCTACTGTGTTCAAAGAATTACGTATATACATATGCATATATTAATTGCTGGTGTACGTGAGCCTGAGTTGTTAAAATTTATACAAAACTATGCAAAAACCACGTGGTAGATGTGCATTTCGCCGTAGAAAGAAAAGACAAATAGCGTGCGTGCTTTATGTTCAAGGACTCTTTATGCCAATCACCGATTTTCAATGTGTTCAGATTGCAGAGATAGCATAGAAAACTATTACTAATTTCAAAAATTTTCTTTCTAAGCCACATAGGTAAGATATAAATTATATTTTCTATTCATTAGAAACTATACAATATAACGATTTGAATAGCCATAAAATAATTATAAGGAAGTATACCAAACGAAGAACCGTTTAGCATACAGTTCACAATAACTTTTATATTTTGATCTTTTCTTAAGACGTTTAAAGAAGAATAGAAAAAGAAGTTTTTTCGAAATGAAATTTTAATGATAATATTTAAAAGATTTAGATTTTATTTTGGGTCGTCCGCGAACTTATGGTGTCACGTAGCTCGAAAAATGGAACAGTGCAGTGTCGTTCTAGGGTCATTCATTTGCCTTTACGCGACGTACAATTTGGCTTTTAAATTTTGAACTACATAATTCTTACTGTAAAGTAGAGCTGGGCAACTGTTGCTCCGAGACCAGAATTCTCCCTTCCGGTTTACCCCCACTATAGTCCTCCGGTGGCTTGTTTGAGCTGCGGTGAGAAGACTATTGGGCGGGATACTTCAGCGAGCCACCGAAGATCCATACTGGGGGTAATCCGAGAGGGGGAATTCTATTCTCGGAGATGCAGTTACAGTAGACATTCGTTTCCCGCGCCACCGTTATCTGCACGAAAGCCACGCCCCTTGTCCACACGTATTTCTCACACACGCGCGCGTACCCTACTCTGTCGCCCAACACGCCCAGGCCGGAACACATACGGTGTCACGTTTAACTCGCATATCTCATTACGGAAAGCGCAGTGTATATAATTCTGTTTTAATAATGTTTTTATCGGTGCAATGGATATTGGTGGCAATTTGATTGCTTCGTGTCTCGCGGATCACATGTAATGGGTAACAAATGCTAACCAAGCTAGACTTTTGCCAGTAAAATATGTCACGAATTATTACCTTTTTCCCATAATACCTTAATACTTTATTACGCAGAATGTTTGGAAGAATCGATTTATGTAATAAAAGTATTTTATTCCATAATATTTCAATATCATTAATAAAAATAACATAATTAACTTTGAAAACTCAGAAGATCCTCCACCTACGAAAAACTTGTTACTGCTAAGTAATAGCCCTCTTCATATTGAACAACTTCTGTGAATAAACTTTTCTGATATCTCTAAAAATAACGGAGAAAATTAGTGTAACCGTAAAGTGCGCATATCCAGCCCACCCTATACATATATAGCTGCGTCGCACGACTGAACGGCCGTGGTGTGGTGAAATGGTGGTGAAACGTGAGTGGTGGGGAAAGCGCTCGGGTAACTAGCGTCTGCTTCCTGCACGGTTCCTGGAATTCTGGCCCGCTACAGCGCCGACTAGTGCGGGAAACGAATGTCTACTGTATCCAGTTCTGCTCAGTTCTGCTGTAAAGCATGAGTCATATGTATTAATGAACATTTCGATATTATTATTAATTATCTACTATAGAAATACACATATATACATATAGCTTTTGTGAATGGTACCAACAAGAAATTCTACGTCATAGTGGTAATCAATTTGTTCCTGTAATTCTTTGTAGGACCATCACCAGCCTGATTCTATTTCATCATGACTTCCACACTTCCGACATTAATTTATATATTATAACATTCCCCGTAATCGTATATTAGGATACACAACATTTTTTAAACGTTCGTTTATACTTCGTTCTTTATATGTATGCATACTTGCATGAAAGTTTGTGGTTTTCAATTTGATTATTACTATACGTTTATATATGTATGTAAATGGAGAATCTTATAATGCGTTTACCGAAATCACGGGATTCCCGAGACTTGGGTCATGTCGGGAGAAGTCGGGCGAGAGCGGTCGGGATCCCGACAGATGTCGAGTCCCGAATGATATTTTCGAGAACTTATCCGTCTAATGGCAAAAAATTATACTATACGATACGATGCCATATTGAATCTTCAGGTTCATGATATGAACTATAAATGCTAAATAATTTAACGATTTCAAATGGAATCCTGCGGTTGGACAGGGTTAATAATACAGTCTTTAGTACACATTTCTTCTTACGTTATGTTTTTATTAAGTAAAATAAATAAAGTGGCAGTATTAGGGACATTTAATCTATCATACAACATACAGGCATATATAATATTAGGTGTACAAATAAGTTTCCTCGGTTTTTTATAAAAAGTTAGGAATTTATTGTGAAGGAACAGTACATTACGTTTTATTCAAAGTATTTTCCATCATTTGCCACTACTTTTCCCCATCTTTCTGGCAACATTCGGATACCCCGTCGAAAAAACTCTTCATCTTTTGACGCTGTCCACAAATCTACCCAATTTTTGGTGTCTTCATATGATGTGAAGCGCTGCTCAGACAGACCATGTGCCATCGACCGGAACAGGTGATAATCAGAAGGGGCTAAGTCTGGTGAATACGGCGGGTGGGGTAAAACTTCCCAGTTGAGTGTTTCCAAGTATGTTTTTACCGTCGCCGCAACATGTGGACGAGCATTATCGTGTAAAAGAATAATTTTGTCGTGTCTGGAGTAGTAATGGGCGCGTTTTTCCTTAAGTGCCCGACTCAATCTCATCAATTGTGTTCGGTAGAGAGCTCCAGTAATGGTTTCGCTTGGTTTGAGCAATTCATAATACACGACACCAAGCTGATCCCACCAAATACACAGCATGAGTTTTTTTCCATGAATATTCGGCTTAACTGTCGATGTTGATGGTTCGCCGGGCTTAACCCATGACTTTCTCTTCTTTGGATTATCGTAGTGAATCCATTTTTCGTCACCAGTGACTATACGATGCAAAAAACTCTTTTTTTTATTCCTGGCAAGCAGCATTTCACTCATGCATAATCGGCGTTCAACGTCTCTCGGCTTTAGTTCATATGGAACCCAAGTTCCTTGTTTTTGAATCATTCCCAACGATTTTAAACGATGTGAAATTGCTTGTTGAGTCACTTCTAATGTAAGTGCAAGTTCTTTTTGCGTTTGGGACGAATCTTCCTCCAATAATACTTCTAATTCCATGTCTTCGTACACTTTTGGCCTTCCACTGCGTTCTTTGTCCTTCACGTCAAACTCACCGTTCTTAAACTTTTGAAACCATTCCTGACAACTTCTCTCACTTAAAGCAGCTTCACCATATGCTTCTAGAAGCAATCGATGCGCCTCAGCTGCAGATTTTTTCAAATTAAAGAAGTAAATCAAAAGTTCCCGCAAATGATGCTTATTCGGCACAAAACTTGACATTTTTGCAGGAAAAAAATTACGTGATGCTGATACGGAATCACTAGTACTTTAAGGTTATGGTGTTGCCGGATGACGAAACTTGGGATATTACGTTTTACATCTGACAATTTCTCCATAACCTTCTGGTGGGGCCATCTTTTGACAAACCGCGGAAACTTATTTGTACACCTAATATTAATTTAAATTGTAATGTAAAAAAACATAATTCTTCGACATTGTTCGGCAATAATTATTCCGGTAAACAACATAATTGTTTGCCGTTAGATGGATAAGTTCTCGAAAATATCATTCGGGACCCGACATTTGTCGGGATTCCGATCCGACCCGATTCCGAAATGTCGGGTACCCGTACACTAGAGTTCTGCATTGAGCGGCTAAATCCGGGTCCTCCCGCCCAAACCCGTAGCGGGCCAGGCGGGTCGACATATATATCTAGGCGCCCAAACCCGCCCGAAGTTATTGCAGCGTGTGATCTTTCCACCCGTGCCCGAGTGCCCGCTTGAGTTCTGCATTGAACGGGTTGAGCGGGCCTAGCGGGGATTCCACGGGTCGGACGGGCTAGCATGAATCCGGGCGGGTATGGACGGGTTTGCGGCGCGCATCGTCTCGCCTGCGCGGGCCGGGTATAGTTAGGGCCGGGCCAGCCCGGGTAGAGATAAAACGGCCGGGTGACGGGCGGGCTCAGCTCGCCGAATGCAGAACTCTACCGCACACTCCTCGTTTACGGACCTTACTTCGAGTGTAATAACTCTGCTTGATGTGATCCAACAAAACGGTAAACACGTTCCTATGATTTCCACACGTTTGTCTTTAATCCTTTGCACACTCGAAGAGAATGCTCAAACTTAATTGTAGGACAAAAAAACATGAAAATTGACAATGCTCGAAAGAATTAGTTTATGGGTAAGCAACGGAACAATAAGCATTCCAGGAAGAGCTTTTTCTTATGTTTAAAATATGTGATATTTATTAATTTTTTTAATTTCTTAACACTTAGCCAACCGAATGAGGCGATCTCCCCACTTTAAAAGTAAGTCAATGCATGACCGATCGGGGAGATCGTCCATTTTGACCTTAGCAACGCGTTTTTTTTTTGTTATTATCAGTTATTGTTTACCTGGAATTGTTCGCAATTAATTGCGGCCTTTTTCTGCTTTTATAAAGTACAGTATATAATAAAATACACCAATTAAGTGGTGTTAAAATTACTTAAAAAGTTACACTATAAGTTAGGACTGATTTATAAAAAATAAAGTATAAGGTATAAAAAAATACCGTTAAAAATGTAATTAACCACGTAAATCATTTTTAGACTTGTTTGTGTTTTAAGTAGTGAATATTAGTCCGCGTTACTTGCGAAAAATGCACGGTGGACAGCGTACAGGTTGGCTTGTCCGAGCGCGGTGGAAAACATATAGTTTGCTGTGGCGCGCGCGGTTGGCTAAGTGTTTTAAGACATTAAGAATGTAAAGCGTGTAAAGAAAAACACGTATAAGTTTTACATGCAGTATTATTTTTCGTTCGGTCAAAGGTTCGGTGACTTTAAGTTTATACACACACGGACTTGTATATAAATACGAATGCTTAATGACCACTGGTGAGGCAGCCACTTGAAAATACTTCTATGAAACCCTTACTTATTATATATTTCGAAATATTCTATTTTTTGTATCAGGCAATTAATAAAGCCAAGCGATTCTAATCACTAACATATACGTTCCTCTATACATTTTTGTATCGACAATTAATATACATATATGTATACATTCGACATATTATATCGATAATAAACGCGAATAATTATTTTCGTTTATGATTTTTCTAATGATCAATTCCAAACGCGTATATTATGTAAAAAGTATAACTGTAAGATACTCGATAAGCAACTTTAATGCATAGATAAGCGCTCCTTATTGTATCCTTTGCGTAATAAATAATTTGTTTATGATTCAATACAAACAAACATCTTTCTACCCATTAGTGCGATAAAAATAGTATTGTATCCTATAGCTACGGTATTATTAGCACATTATTGTATACTGGTAATATAAAAATAAAACGGTACATCACCCCGTAATAAAAGAGATCGACCTACTTCCTCATTTGTTCTTGCTAACGAATGCATTTTTCTTAATACATAGTACTACATTCTTATATTAATATTAGTGCATAATTTCATATACAGTGTAGACTAAGAATTTTCTTTTTTCTTTTTACGGATGTTTCCGAAAGTCGCTATGTCCCTTCAGGATCCAACTGCCGAAAGAGAAGTTTACGAAATAAGGTGATACTTTTTTCGTTATAGGGTGATGCATTATTTTCTGTCGTTAAGAAGATTTATAATCCATACTGAAAACCGTTGTTTCTATGTGAAAAAGTGATGTCTTATAGGTCTTGACCGGTGGGTCATCTAAGTCCGATTTTTGGGAATATTTGTTACAGACGCACAAGTACCTAGAGTTGTACAAGTAATTCACACTCCCGCGAATATTCCACAACCGAACGAGTACGTTACGTATCCGACGTTATCAACAGGTGATTATTAGAAATGCAGAAGTACAATAGTATACATACCTAAACATGATTGTTTACTGAAATATTAATACCGGTCGTTCACGATTTATTAACAAGATCATAATTTCAAAAAATAGTGTTTTTTATTGTATCGAGTATAACGTAACGGTAAAGTTTTTTAATTATTCTGAATAATTGTAATAAAATTGTCCTCTTTCAGGAATGTCACAACCACCAGAAGTCTCGAACGATCTTTATGTGAAACAAGCACCGTATAATCCCAATTATGTTTAATCGAGCCAACGATCGCAATTGAACAGTGCCATTCTTTAAGAAAGTTCCATTAGCATTGCATTTTCCTCAAACGGTACATGTTACTTGATTATTCGTAGTTATATCAGTCGTCATCGAGCGGACCTTTTACTCGAACTACAGTTTTAGTTTTATCATTTCAACGAAGAATGCATATTGGAAACGAAATATCCTTGCATACGATTTTGATATTAATGTTCTGAGTAGTCAGCTTCTCCTACGTTACATTTTTCATTTCAAAACAAAGTTACTAATTTCATGAATTGCATAACGGCATAACACAATAATTTTCTTCATGCTCAAATATTATAGAAATTGTAACAAAGAACCATGAGAATATTGTATTTTTATCTATGCTATCCGAGAATTACCTGACATCTTGTTTACATATTATGTATGCACACCATAGTAGTTTGTTCGTCTTCCTGAAGAATAAAGACTAAAGTTCGTTATTTATCTTGTACTGTTACTATTACATTTAAATGCAAGATTTCTTTCCTCTTGCCCAACTTATTAAAATTTGTACATCAAATTATACATATACACACCATAGATTTTTATTCTTGTACATAAGCGAGAAACACACAAAGGATAGTGTTATATTATACAATGAATAATACAAGAACAATAAAAGTATTATGGTACAAGAAGTGTTGTTATTTTCTATATGATAATATTCTGTAGTACGTAATACTATATCACAATAAAACCTGTGATTTCCATATTATGCATGGTATAAAAAGGAACATGTAATTTAAATTTTGTTTATTAAATTGAAAGGAAACACCGCATAATTTCTAGGAAAATATATATTTTCTGAATATCTATGTTACAATACATGCATACATATATATTTTTTATATACATATATGTATATGTATAAACAATACATTATCAGTGTTACACAGTGTTCTCTATGAATTAATGAATGATACTGTGTTATACAAGACCACAGTAAGTGTTCATTATCAAATTCGTTTTACGCTGAATTCGATGACTGGGAATTTTTTTCAAAGAAGCAGGTTGTCCATGTCTCTCAATTAATCGGATATATTTGATACTATACTCAGACGAGCGAATACGAAACAGTGATTGAAAACTGTTATAAAAAACCGAAATAATGTTGTGACTGTTATGGGTGAAAAAGGTTCTCGCCTAACACAGTTTGTTATTATATTATCGATTTAAAACGGTTTTCAGATCGGTTCTATCATTCGTGTGCCAGTTTTGTTTACTCCAGTTGATACTTACGTTTAAACCAAACTGACGCGTTAATGTGAGAATCCTTTCATATACTTCGTGTAGAAAGAATCGAAGCGGAAATAGAATGATAGAACCGATCTGAAAACTGTTTTGAATCGGTACAGGACCAATATCGAGCAGCACCTTTTTTACCTATGTATAATACCTATATGTATAAATAGTTGTATGTAGCATCATTTTGGTTGTTCATAACTGTTTCAGTCAGAACATTGCGACCACCTCATGAGGCCAGGCCTCGAGGTAAACCTCTATCGTGTACAGCCTACTTTATATGTACACCGGCGAGCGAACTCGGCTTCCATTAGGGGAAAAAATGGCGAAGAGGAAAGGCCTCTCTCCACTTTGTAAATTTACTTCAGGTACTAAAACAAATGTTAAATCAAACGTTAATTTGGTATAAATTTCAGTAACTCCCAAAACTAAATGGTAGCAGGCCCTTCGCCAACTTCACTTTTTCCCTTAGCGGAAGCCGAGTTTGCTCGTCGGTGTACATATAACAGTTATTTAGGGAATCGTTTCAACTCCTAACACTAAACAATTTCTCTCAAGTAGGGAAACTGCGCTCAATGTATTCATAATTATTATTAACTAGCACATTATGTGTTTTTATTGACAAACCACCCTATTAATCTACCGTATGTAAATATAAATAATTTTGATTATTATTTTCGACTATCTATAATTAGCTATATTTTTCATTCGATATTTGTTTCGAATTTGAAAGTGGGGCCCCCGGGGCTATAGCCCACTCTTAGCTCCTTAATCCGGCGCTGTTCAGTGCAATACAAACAATTTGCTACTGTACTTTTATTCATAATGATACAGTAGAAGTCTTTGTGAATGCAAATTATAGCCAAATAGAGGTGTATAAATGAAATTTTATTACAGAAATATAATATGTAAATTAAATACTAGAGCTATTGTTCAACCCAAGTTTTATGCAGTATAAATGCATTACTTTCGTGATTACAGAATTCATTTTATGAATATTAATATCTCTGTTCAATGCAGTATTATTCTTGTACTAATTATATTGGGTAACCAATAAAATATATTACATCATTTATAATTCTCTTTGAATAAAAGTAGCCGGTTGTAGATACATTCATTTACAAATTTATATTATACAAACTACTATTTATCAGCAATCTGATTTTCCCTTTACAACATTTAGTATATCAAATCTTAATATAAAAACAATATCTATAATAATATCAATCACAAAGTTATTGACATTATGTCTACATACATAGTTATTTGTTTCCAATTTGATTGTGTTACATTCACGTTTCTTTACAGTCAAAAAAATCTGGAGGACGGTAATTTTTAATGTACAACTGCACAAATACAACTACACATTATCAATATTACTTTTTATACTGCAAATATTTTAAAATAAAGGATTTATGTTGACCTAAACAATGATCTGTGCATGCTATTTCTTTGCAATACACTCGGTGTAATATTGCAATGTACAAAATACTAAAGTTCAATATTATTGTTTCGTTTGTAATCAACTCTATAGCCTACTAATATCAATTTGCACTCAATATTAATACTCGTTATCACTGAATGTACATATATTGTCTACGGATGAAGGAAGCGATAGTATCAGTCATGTTTTGTAGTTTCTTCAAGCACTACTGTTTGTTGTTCAGTAGTTTAAGAATGAATCTAAAAATATGTCAACAGTAACTTTTCTACAACTTTAATCAAGTATTCACACGTATAGAAATCCTTAGAATATTGCGAAATACTAATTTCGTAAATATTACAATAAACTCGATGCGGTAATGAAAAATTATTATAACTTCCTGCATATTACATATATAATTTATATTTTAATGTTGGCGTTTGATGGTGATTGGATTCATTCCGTATTATTTGAAAATTTTTTAGTTCTAAACAGTAGTTTTTCTACTGAAACTAGGTGGTTTAAATGAAATTTTTCTACTTACCTATTAATATTAGATTGTAGTACAAACAACATATCTGTATTTTGAGAAGATAGCATTGCTTTAAGAGATTATACAGGTAGTCTGAGAAGAATTATTTTCCACATTATTCAGATTGCTGTAACTATTTCGAAAAGCCACTTCGTCGACATTTAATGATAACTCGTGAGATCGCTCTTCCTCTAAAGGGGCAGTTGTTGAAGCATGGCTAATAGACGAATGTCGTGATCGAGATAAGTTTCCTCGTTGGTTACTACCAGCAGACGGTGCTGGACTAGGAGACGGACTTTCCGGGATTTGCTCTTGTTCGTGTTGCTGTTTAATTACAACTAATCTGTTCATCAAAGAAATCTGAACCTGGATGCTCGACATAAACGGTCTATAGCCCAAACTGAAATACATAAATAAATTAATTTCTTCATACTATGTTCATAATAACTGTGGCACAGACGAAGTACGGAATAAACTTAATAATTCATACATTTTATGTCACACGACCAACAAAACAATTAAATCTAATGGAGATGTAATCTTCATACTTTAAGAATAACAGGAAGCAACAAAGTATTAGGTTTATTCTACAGTTAGCCTGCACTCACACAGTACTCACCATTCTGAGTGTGACCATTTGGTTAAAATAAGAAGACCATCTCTTAAATTAATTACAGAATCAAAAGTTTGCATAGGGGCGTGAGCTGCCCTAATAGTTCTAGCCATAGCAGGTGCGTCCCGCAAAACTGTTGCTAATACCGCAGCCCATCCTAAGCAACCACCTTCAAGAAATAATTGTAACAGGTATCTAAGTTGTACTTCTGCTCGACTTATCGGAGCACAAGGAGAAGTGTTATGGACTTCAGTTTGCTCTACTGGTTCCGGCGAAACCCAGCACACTGTTCCAACTCCAGTCCCAACTATGGATTCGGTGTCGTCTCTCCAAATTGTGCTACTGTCACTAAGAAGACTGTTGGCATCTGGGAATTTATTTATTAATACCTTTATTGGTTAATTAAATTAATATGATGCAATAACATTTTTCAAAGGAAATAAATACCCTGCAGCATATTTGCTGTCAATTTTGTTTCAGCGGCAGGAAATTGTGTTTCTAAACTGGCAACAGGAGAAATCAAGCTTGTGTAAGGTGGTCGTCCACTTGGTAAACTAGTATAACCACTGTCAGGTAAATCGATCGGGAAGCTCGAGTTCAGTAGTTCATCTTCTGGACTTTCTAAACTGACTGATCTTATCGAGCGTAGGGACGTAAGACTAGATCTTCGAAACTTTTGCAAAGTTGGAAGAGATAATACAGGGTAAGCAAACGCAAAATCCTCATGGACTGCCTTCAGTGTTGCCACGTAATCGTCGATTTTCGCTGCTCTATCACGTTCTCTACCGAACCATGTAACTAAATGGAAGTCCAGTCGTGCAGCAAATCTACCTAAATCTGCGAGTCGTTTTGCCGAAAGTAATCGACGGGCATGACGCTGTAGTATTACGTCAATAAAGAACTCTTCAGCCGATCCCTCTCTAATAGGGAGATTTTATTTATTGTACTTGAATTTTGATATAATAATTTGTATACTTAATTCTATTTCAAATGTACGAATAATTAAAACTTACTTGTTATCGGTTTTTTCGGTCTTAGAAGTATTTGTAGGCACAGACTTTTTCCGTCTCATAACTACATTTCTAGTTTTTTCTAACATCGAAGGAGGCGTTATATCTTTTGCGACCGATTCGAGTTGTACTTTAGGAGTTGCTGTGGTACTGTAACTTCGACTTCTTGAAACTTGCATGGTCCCTAATACCAAGGATAAATCATCTTCATGAGGTGAAAGAGGTGGTGTTTGTGGGGGTCCTCCTAATTTTGATGTACCGCCCCAAGACGTCCGTGGCGATTCGACATCATTCGGATCTTATCAAAACACAAATGTACACATAAAAGTAATAGAAACAAAAAGCAAATGTTTAGTTTTATATGATTTACCAATGGCTCTGAGAAAACGAACGAGATCTTTTGAAAGCTCCCATCGTCCTTGCTCTAACGCTGCATCCAATAATAAAGTGGCATGTTGTCGACTAACAGTAGAAGGTTCTAAGTTCTGTAAAATTATTAAGTAGCTAGCAGCAGTATCGAGTTGTTGACGCTGCAAACAATCTTGCAATAGTTTCTTCGGTGGTCCAGCAACAGAGAATAAATAAGGCCAGAGTGCTATTTCAGTCTTTCTAGCGCATTGAACAACTGCTCTAGCCCATACTCCTGGAAATTCACGGATGAATTCCACTACAGAAGGTAACTGGGCATCTGGTATTGGTTCTTTACTAGTCGCCTCTTCTTCTAATACCTCGTGAAGAAGAAGCTCCAACGAATGTGGGAAATATGGCAGTGAAGAACATGAGCGAGCAATCTCCCATGCATGATATCCCAAATTACGATTAATAAGTTGTCGTAATATTTGATGAAGATAAACTTGACTCTAAAATTAAAACATTAATCAAACTATTTCGTGTTATCTCTTTTATTAAATGATTCCCTGTAATTGGTGGTCAAACTTAGTGATTAGAAGCAGAGTTCTTCATTTCCATGAAAACGAAGTCTTTGTAAAAACTCATTTGTTTTTTACCTTGCACATATTTTTCATAATGGAGTCAATCATTCTGACGTTATACCATCAGTTACAGGACATCCATCTACAGATAATAATGCACTTACTGTAAGTTCTAGCAAACTGAAGGGTAAAGAGAATGGAGAATTTGTATCAGATGTAAAAAGTACAGTGTCATTTTCAGCTCCTAACAAAATAGCATCCTCGAAAAGTATAGCCAAAGGATAAATACGTAAGTGAAATGGTAACATTATTCTCTTGCTCATAAATGTATGTGCTTTTTCTTGGTGATTTCTAGGAAACAATGGAAGCCAGACACGCATTCCGTGAGCTCCACAAAATAGCCACAGAGCTTCTGTCAAGTGTGGCTTGTCTCTCCTTGATCTCCATGGTACCCAAACGTTTTCTACATAAGAAGCCAATACGGTTGGGGCACTACATGTAAATAACTATAATAATATATATTTAAACATTAAAAGAACAGATGTAAAATAACGAGTACATTAACGATAAACGTATTATTTACATACAACTTCTGGATTATCGGTAGAATGTTCCCGTTGAACCATCAGAAGACGCCCAGACACATTTAACAAAAGACTTTCAGGATGAGGATGACTTCCGGCCGTTTCTGCGCGTATAGTAGTTAATGTGGCACTTACAACGCAAGCAGGATGAACGCAAAGTCCGCTGACATCGACTGTTTGCAACTTTGTTAATTCTATACTTCCTGCATCTGAAATACAAATTCGTTTCTGTTGAAAGCAAATTCCCCATTTCTAATTTGTAGGGTGACTTTTTTCTTCCAACTTACCATTCTTGCTTTCTAGTACCATATCGTAAATACTAATCTGCCCATTAGCACAAAATGTTAAGAGTCTGTCCTTTAGGGTATTGAGCAATAGCACTTGCGACGGCATTCTAACGGTTCTAACATAATTATTATCCAAACGTGTATCACGTGGATATATTCTAACTTCATCTTTATCGTCCAATATCGAATAACTACTAGCTATCAAGAAGCCTCGATGCCACAGTAATCCTCCAGTCACGATGAAATCGCGTTCCTGAGTTTCATTACCAAATAGTTTCCATTTACGTGTAGGTAAAGAATAATGAGCTAACCCTGTTCGTCCAGCTACAGCGATACTCATGCCTTCGTTATCAATAGCAGTATACTACAAGAATAAATTATTTAATATGCATATATCTAATACATATACGAAATACATGTATTTACATACTCTTATTGGCCAATTGGAACCACTATATGCACTAGGGATAGGAACGACCAGCCATTGTTTACAACCTGCAAGTGTTTGCACTGTAGAATCATTAGGAATTTCACTACCAATGTGAAAAGTTGAAGTATTTGTAGAAACTCCGCCACCAAGGTTTAAATAGAGCCTATCTTCACCTTGTAAATACAAATGACCATGATGGCCCTGTTTAACAAAATGCAAATAACGTCAAAATGTTTACTATTGATAAATAATGAAATGTCTTTCGATATGTTTCCACAATCTCACCATGCAAGGATTGATCGTTAAAGGGCTTTTTACAAAATCCAACTGTATCAAAGAACGTTTGGAATTAGGTACTCCATTCCCATTTTCCTCAATTACAGACGGACCTGGAGATTCTCTCAGCATCCAAAGCTGATAACCTTCTGCAGACCATTCCTATAATGTACGAAATATGAGCTTATATAGTCTAGTAAAATTAATATTAAGTGTTTTATCAATGAATGTACCAACCATTACGTAAATATGCAAAGGATTATCATGAGATAGGTCTACTCTCAAACCATAATCCCACTTTAAACTACAAAGTAACAGAGCACCGAATGTACTCCATACTGCTAAGCCACCACCTTCCCAAGCTAATGCAATTGCGCAACTATCAGGAGTCCACCTTAAACATCTTACGCGACCAGGTCTTCCTGGATAATCTTTCGAAGATAAGCTTAATGTATGTGACATTTCTAAACCTCCTGTTGTTTCATCGACATAATAAACGACACCTTCAGAACTAACAACAAATGTACAAGTATAGATATACACACATACACACAATACATGTGTTGTAATACGAATCTCAGATATGAAAGAACATACTTTTGCCTTCCAATTGCAATAAGTCGATATTTATGATTTACAGCCGCACATGTAGCATCATCGACATCTCTAGCCCAAACTCCTTGTACTTGCTAAAAAATAATATTGATGTAATATATCTTGTCTGTATATTTAAAAGACAATTAACATACATTAGGGTCGAATTTTAGAGACTGTGCTGTGAGAAATGCTGCTTTGCCGGTGTTAAGAACAATTGCAAATCCACCAACTAAAGGTGAATATTCTATATCGGTAACATAAACATTGTTCTCAGTCAGTGGTACAGCCATAGTAGATATTTGTTGATCCACACTAAACGGTATTCTTCTTAAGTCAAGGGAGTAATCTCGATTCACAGTTCCATCCCATTTATGACGTATGATGTGACTAGTCTTTGTAGCTACCATCAACTCGTCGCGTATACAAACTAAAGAACTAATACCACCATCTATCCAAGCCGATTTCTCCTGAGAATATAAAATTTTTTTCAAACAAATTATTGTCAGCTGTCCATACAATTTCACATATATATTGTCTATTACACAAGAGTGCACAACTATTATATCTATGAAAAATGATGCATGGACTGAGGGAGATTGATAATTTATATATATATATATAAATTATCAATCTCCCTCAGTCCATGCATCATTTACGCTTGTTCGTAATACGTAGTTTAATGTTTGTTATTACTGTTTGTTTTATTGACAAATATTGATTTCCTGAGATATGTGCTGCATATACTAAGCCAGAGTCGGCTCGTGTACATCTTGGGTATGACTGGAGTAAGATTGTATTTCAGTTTTTATATGCATACCTAATAGAAAATTATTGCCTATTACAAAACAATTGTATTTACTCTCATTGAAAGCATACAGGCAATATATTGCATCCATAAAATGGACAGGTATATCTGCCTTATATTTTGAAAGATTGAATAAAAAATCTTTGAAAATTGTTCTTTAAGCACAAATGGAAATGATTAGTTTCATTATTAACAGAGAGTATAACAGTTTTTAAAAATTTACTTTTGTTCCTTGACAACTCTTTGTGTAACACTTTAATTTTCATGGAAGTATTATCAGGACATTCTTGTGTAATACACTATATAAACTTACAAATGTCAAAACCAAAGAAGGAATAACTTCCTTGATAAAAAGTTCTGCACTATCTCTTTTTAAACTAGTAACTGGAGAGTCTCTTTGTTCATAAAGACCTCTTCCCTCTGGACTGGAATCTGATAGTCTATAAAACAGAAGATAGCTATCCAATGTCTGAAACAAATAAAAATTGTAACAATAAAATTGTTTTATGCTTTTATATTGTAGTTGAATATTTTTTATAAATTTTCATACCGCAATAACCAGCATACTGGAATCTGGCCTCCACTGCACCAAAATATTGTCTCCATGTTTTTTTAAAGAGTCTGCAGTTCTTCTGATGAATACAATGGGTACACACGGCTACATGTAAATGTTTTTTATTACAAATGAAATCAAAGTATAAAAACATAGTAAACTGCTTTATAGAATGAGTTTAACAAAAATTATTGGTCAACATGCAAAACTGAATAGTGAGATCTAAGGAAATGATCGTACAGTTAGTATAGTACATCTTAACTACATTAGGTACATAAAGAAGTATTATGAATCACTAGGACTGAACATCATGAAGGCTCTTAATTTCACTTTGGAACATATTAATTATCGAATTTAACATCACATTTAAAACACATGCCTTGCAATACCAGATGGTGAGAGAATCTGCCGTCAAAACAGCGAAAAGTATCTTATCCCTGTTGCAAACAATTGCAGTTATCTTCTCCGGGTCTATTGTATTCAGAACCCGTGGCCATCCGATCGGAAAAAACATGATTTCTATTTAAAATTGTCCACTTGTCATATTCCTGCTATATTTGAATTGTTTTCGTGTTTTACCTCTTGCGTCAATGAATTTGACAAGTAAACACATCCTAACCTCACCGTGTTATGCTGATCATAAATAATGAATATACGTACATATATACATATATATGTTACTGCTACGAAACGAACTGAAACTCCCACATCCACGTAGCACAATTGTATACAGTATACGGACGGAAGCTACTCATGACACTCATACCACTTATCTAAATAATTTACCAGCATTCGCACCAATTCACACTACCTCATGTGCAACTGTTAGTATTATCGCATTCAAAAACGTGACACTCGATCCATTTTATTTGTAAATAGCTTATTGTTAGGTATACAGTAATTAACACGAGTATGTAAAAGTTTAAAGAACATAGGTACGTATAAACGCAACGTCCATCGTGTTTAAATAGTTGCATCAGTACCGTTATAATTGTACACGTATGTACATATATATGTGCTTAACATAAGTAAATTAACCGAATAATTTGATATACGAACATTTTATAAGTTTGAATGCTACGAATATTCGTCAAATATTTTAATTATACAATATGTCATATATTTGAATTATAGCTACACGCTAAAATATTGTGCTTGTACAATTAATTTCTTTTGTATGGAAAAATTTATTTGTAAGAATTTGCATATGATATATAGTTAATTCATAATTTATTGGCAAAGTTATTAAGTTGATAACTGTTTATTATTTTTAAGATTTAACCCTTGTGTAGGCAACCGGGTATGTACCTGGGTACCAAAGTACCCATTACTAAATTTCCTTTCACAATTTTTTATGTTCTTGTTTAAAACAGCACTTGGTATATTATAGGAAGGAAAAACTAAGAGTTTCGGAAAAGTATGAAAGTAGAATTATCTATGTTTATATAATCTGGCAGAATAGGAGTACATATTAAAAGATACATTTAAAGAGTTTAATTTCTTTATGGAGCGTCTTGTTTTATGAATGCATGAAATATTGTGACTGGACGTGTACGTAGGACAAGGAATGTAAATTTGAAAGGGATAACATAAAATCGGTATAAAATCACAACATAACGTATTATATTTTTTTACAATGTTTCGTAGTTATTGACACTTAGTAAAGTGTCGAAAGTACCTAGAAATCGACGTGTGTTAAATGTATGTATGTATATTTTACTTAAGATTCCGAAGTCCGTACATTATTAATAAGTAGGTATCACAGAATCTCGTAATCGAAAGTTTTTGTATAATAATACTTAAGTATAAACGGTGAACAATATTCAAGTATCTGTTATCGTTATCTGTTCACGATCATCTGTCGCACTGAGCTAGATATACATATATATTTTGTTTCAGCTCCTGTCTAATTCCACTCAAATTCCCAACACATTTACTATACATATAAGCTAATTCTTGGTCCAACGGCATAGGCCCCTCTGTTGTCTCTATTTATTAATGATATCTATTATTAACGTACATATTTTCCATACCATACGATGCAGGCGAGGGCAAAGGCCACTCATCTTTCGGCTACGCCCATGTCCAGGCTATAAAAATATCAAGTACATTAAACGTCTGCATTAGCAATATCTATGTTTCCGTATTATTTGTCGAAATTTGATCAGTCTGTGTTACTAATTATACTACTGAAAAGTGTTTCAACAGCATAGATCTCCAAGTTGCATTTTCGCCACTCTATAATTCTTATCCCTTGTATCCACGATACTTGTGGCCTAGCCGCAAAAATCATTAAGTAGCATGTACTTACATATGTATATGTATCTAGATAAATGCAATTTCCGTGGTCGCAGAAAGTAGTATTTACGACATTACGTTTTCATCGTGTTATTCTTATGAATGTGAACAGTAGAATAACCTAGTAAAATATGGCCAAACAATTTACTTTAACGATCTGTATACATGCCACAAAGAACGACTGACGTCTACCAAGTGGGTTCTATTGATGGTGACATGGCGTTGATTTTTAGAGGCCTACCAAATCCACGTGTACCATCCGGACCAGACGGCATTCTCGTTACGTTCTCTGGCAAATGTGTTAACGCTATACCACTGTTGCTTCTAGGTCGACAATAAGTGGTCTGTTCGGAGCCAGAGGAACATAGAGATAACCTTCTGGCACCTGCATCGAAGCCGGAATCTCGACTACACGCGGACAGTCTTCTCAAGAATGGCCCATAATCCGTGGATCCACGGCGACTAGAATGATAGCAGGCACTATTGCACTCGGAACCGGAACTCGAGCAACAGGAGAATCGTCGGTTCTCTTGGTAGCAGTAACTCGGTGGAAAGACCGGATGGCAGTAACCAGTTTCGGAACCAGAGGAACAAGCGGAGTAACGTCTGCCAAAGTTTCCGGTTTCCGAGCCGGAACCTGAACCGGAACAGGAAGACAAACGACGAAGGATGAAACCGTTTTCCGAACCCGATACCGAGCAGCCGGACAACCGGCGAGACAGCCATGCGTCTGGTGAAGGTGGTCCTGTAAGAAAATTTGTAATGTTCAGTCGAATTTTTGAATGTGTAAATGTGTACACAGTTCACGGGTTTCTGTATCTCCACAAAGGAACGAACAATTATATTTCCAGAAGGTACCGATACCTACACAGTGTATTCAAAACGTTCCCGGACTGTTATTACATTAAGGCTAAATCTATTGACTATAGATCTTCTTTTGTTTATCAGCTTCGTTTAACCTTAAAAGATTTAGTCGTTTGTCTGCAGAGCACATTTAAAATTTGTCAGTTTTGTTTTGTTGTAATAATTTTTGTGATGGAGCAAAGAGCTGCGATACGGTTTTGTTTTTTAAGTGGAGAAAGTCCTACAGAGACATACCAAATGATGCAAAATGCATATGGAAGTGACTGTCTCCGTCGTACGCAAGTATTTGAATGGTATTCACGTTTCAAGAATGGTTGCAAGTCACTCGAAGACAACCCAAGGAAAGGGCGTCCGTCGACAAGCAGAATGGACGAAAATGTTGAGCGAGTTCGTCAGCTTCTCATGAAAGATCGCCGTATGAACATTGAAATGTTTTCAAAGGAGTTGAAAATAAGTATTGGAAGTGTTCATGCTATCCTTCATGACGAACTTGGAAAAAAAACACCAGTCCGGTCAATGGTTTCTGTTACACGATAACGCTCCGTCTCACACGTCGCTAACTGTGTCTTCATTTTTTGCTAAAAAGTCAGTCACGGTTCTAATGCACCCTCCGTACTCACCAGATCTGGCTCCAGCGAATTATTTCCTATTTCCAAAATTGAAACTAGCCATGAAAGGAACTCGTTTTGAGGACGAGGAAGCAATCAAACGGAAAGTGACAACGACGTTAAAGGGTATTTCAGTCGTAGACTTTTCCAGATATTTCCGGCGACTGTATGAACGTCATCAAGAGTGTATCAACAGAGGAGGAAACTATGTAGAACACTAAACAATAAAATGATGTCTACCTATAAATCTTTTTGGTAGCAAACATAAGTCCGGGAACTTTTTGAATACACCGTGTATACTTTCCGATAATATAACGAAATTCTGCTTCTTCGAGCATTCAAAGTACAGAGGCTTCTTAGCAGAAAATTAACACCACATTTTCATCGTGAATGCTTGAGGAGATTTGGTAGAAATAGTAATGTTTTCGTTTATGGAACCTTGTTGAGGATAACAAAGTATAGTATTTACAGGGAACTGTAATTTTGATAACTGATTTAAATCTACGCATACCTTGATAGGGATGGCCCGGGTAAGCGTGATACACTGGATAACCATGAATGGGTTTTTTCTGTCTGACTCTCCCGTCTTCAACCTCCGATCCACTGGCACAACTCGAGGAGTTGTAAGCTTCCTCTTTGGCCAATCTCGTCAGGGCACCTTTCTTCGTTGATTGCTGTTTCCTCTTCTTGTCACCGGATTGTTGCAGCTCGAACACCTTGGCATCACCGAAGGCCATTTGCAGTGCAAGACGAGCGGACGCTGAGTCCGTGAACTCGACCATGGCGCACTCCTCGTTAGATGCCAAATCTGGCCTTTTAGCGATTACTTGTCGCACCTGACAATTGAATACAAGTTCCTTATAGTTGTGACAATCAACGGTCGCCTTTTTATAGTATACATCATTAAATTATCAACGCATAGATTTAAAATTACTTTTAGGCAGTTTATTCAGAGTTTCATTTTACTTATCGAAACGTTTCAGAGTCCTTAGATCGTTTCGTATTAGTTATGAAATTTGCAGTCTACCTTCAAATCAACCGACTATGCTTTGTCGCTTAAGCATGTTTTTACAACCGAAAATGAGAGAGACATTACAATTGCGGCCATGTTTATTTTACTTCTTCTAACATCGCCAAAGTATCGATAATAATTCGTGTTATAAAAGTAGAAAAAGCAATGTAGGGGAAGGGCCTACTAATACTTGGTCTCGGAGGTTACCGAAATCTATGCCAAATTAACAATCGGTTCAACATTTATTTTAGTACTTAAAATAAATTTACCAAGTAGTAGGAGACCCTTCTTGTACGCCACTTGAGAAATTTATTTCAACTACTGAAATAAATGTTAAATCGAATGTTAATTTGGCATAAATTTTAATAATTCCCAATACCAACTGGTAGGAGGTCCTTATCTACGTTACTTTTTCCCCTAGTGGAAGCCGAGTTTGCTCGTGAGTGTACTTGGTAAAGTGGGATCGCACTGTGCATTTTGAATTGGATTCATTTAATACAGATAAAATGTATTACCTCAGCTGGTGCAGGATGCCCAGGTCGAAGAACTCTGATAAGGGCGATCTCTCCGCACGGTCGAAAGATTTCAGCTACAGATTCCACCGATAATTTCTCAACCGGAAGTCTGGCGGCTAAAATCGTTCTCGAAGGGGCAGTTTGATCGAATAACGGCAAAGGATCGATCCTACGTAATTTGGTCCCCTGTGGATTCACTTGAAGTTTCTTCGATTTAGCCAAAGCCGCACCAACAACCCTCCAGTCTCTGCTAAGGTGTTTCACCCTTTTGAAACTCGAAATCAGTTTGAGCGACACGTATCCTTCCTTGTTTCTCTTTACGTGTTTCAACAGAAAAGCGTCTTTAACGATATTCGCGTCCGAAAAGTAAAATTCCACTTGAGCACATATTTTCTCAGCCAAATCGCTGTTAGGCGGAACAAAATCGTCCTGTTTTTCGACTGTAGTTCCATCAACTTGCGTTTCTTGCATTTGATTATTCAACTCTCTAGGATTAACGTCCTCGGTGAAATCTGCTCCCGAATCTGGATCCGAATTCCGATGTTCTTTCGCGGGAGTTTTTCGTTTTCTTTCGTTATCGGAACTTCCACTGTCCGACAGATCGGCTTCTTCACCTTTTGAACCTCTACGGTCGAAGGAAAGACTAACGTCGCTGTCCATTGAAGAAATACTGTCCCTAGTGTCGGATTTCTTCATCGGCGGCGGGGAGAAAATCAGGCTGCTTACTTTATCCCTCAGCTCTTGCTGAACATCCACCTCATCCATGTTGAAGCGCCTCGAACTTCACAGAAGGGAACGAAAATCTGGATTTCCTGCACGTGTGTCTTTCGAATTAGTCTATTCGAGATGTTATGACGGCGTTGTGATTCTTCTTCCGACAAACACGTTCCAGACCGTGCCAGATGCTACTTCCATAACGCACCGAGCATCCAGTTTTCAATGTCGGAAAACGACCTGTTTGAATCGCGCGCCTCTCGTATCGAAGAGGAGATGACGTGCGACGAAACGAAGGATCAAAGGTAACAACAATTAGTCTCGTGTTTTACAGAAGGTCTTCGTCGATTGTCTTTTTCGTGATTGGTTCCCTATAGTAGTTGCTTGTATAGTCCAAGAGGAAAAAAAGAACTCGGTTGCCTAACGATGACGAGATCTGTTTCTCCTGGTCACCAGGTCCGACACGTTTGGTGGCACTAAATCGAATCTGCGAAGACAGGCGAGTAGGTCTATTAAACGATTCGACGGTAGGCTAACGATCCTCGGAGAGGGGAAACCACGGAGGACGAATGGATCCTAAAGGAGGGGGCTATGGGAAAGAAAAGAAGAGAGTAAAAGGAGCCGATCTTCCCGCTCTCGTTCAGAATGCGTGCTACTTTGCCTCGGAAGGGGAGGAAAGTGGGAGACTTGCGCGATTCGTGACAGTTCGGGGAAGAGTGGTCTTCCCGAGGACTTGTCCACCTCTTTAAATACTTTCGCCCACGGGTCGCGCATGCGTGATTACTTGTCCCGTGGTAAACCTACCCTGAGGTCGTGACCTTCCTAAATACTGGTCAAGACTAAGACGCCGGGAAGATACGTATTGTCTGAAGGGTATTCGGTCGGGACCTTGGCGAAGTAAACGTGGAGCGGAAGGGTTGTTTGGTCTGACTTACTTTAGATTTCTTTTCTATGATTTAGTTATTTAATTTATACGATAATCTAAATATTATTTAGATTACACTGTTCAACAAATTTTAACCTTTTTTTTTTGTTTTTGGAACCTCTAGTAGGCGTTTTTGATTGATCCTAAATAGCACAAAAACGTCCTATGTACGTCCGATGGACGTACGTTCCGGACGTTCTGTACATTCGGAGGATGTCCCGAAAAGGTCCACGTGTCCCCGTTAGGTCCTCGTTAAGATCTTTAAATGTCCTAAGAAGGTCCTATTTACAAAGTGGAACGTTCTGAGGACATCCTGTGTCAACATTCTCAGAACGTTTCCCGAATGTATAAAAGTAACACTCCCTGTGCGTTTTGGGAACGTTTAAAGAGATTTTAAAAACGCTATGGTAATGTCTTGAAAAACGTATAAGAAACATTTCCCAAATGTTTACAATTGCGGTTAGATTTCATTCTGTACAAGGTGACAGGAATTAGGTTAGGTTGGTTTGTGTTTAACAAATAAAAGATTAACTCTCCTGCGATTTCCGCACTTAGTAAAAATTAGATCTACATAGTTAGTTCCTGTTAATAAATAAAAGGTTAAATTTCCTGTGAGGAATTGTAATGAAAATATAGGTCAGGGGATTATGATCTCCAAGTACATTGTGTTTATTTCTATTTTCACAGCAAAACTCTGATTCAGTGTTGGTTAGAGACAGTTTAAGAAAAAACATGTTTTTTCAACTTTCTTGAGGTTTTCGCACAAAACCGCTAGTGTTGTTACACTTCTCTATTGATTCTTTAAAGACTGACGCCTTGTTCATGGGGTTCCATCACCTTGCACGGAATGACATTGGCAAAAATACTAAATGAAACGATCCAAAATTTAAGTCTTGAGAACATCCGAAGGACTTTTGGGACGGACGTTTCTAGAACATCCGAAATTTAAGTCTTATGAACGTCCTAAGGATGTCCAAAATGGACGTAGGACGTTCGGATATAAACTGGACATCAAAACGGACGTCCTTAGAATGTACGGTGCTATTTGGGATTTTTATGAGCTGAATACGAGTCTGCAAACCGTTTCTGTCTAGCACGTAAGTTGAAGAATATCAGCAAGAATTGCTGCGTTTTCGGTGTCCTTTTCACTTTGAACATTATTTAAACGTATTTAGATGTTTATAATATAGTAACAATTTATGTCATTTTGTTCGGAAGACTCCAGAGAATTATTTCGTGTCAAAAGAAACTGAATAACTGTTCCGATAAAACACAGCTCCAAAGTTAAAAATTTGAAATTATTAAGAAAATACATTTTTTTTTAAACGATACGTAATGGAAAGAAACGGTTTGCAGATTCGTATTCAACTAATAAAGATCTATCAGAAACGGCTATTGACTGCAAAATTTAGTACGTCTTGAACAGTGTTATTGCAATACCAAGCGTCGTACACATTCAGACGAAAACATTGCTCCGTGGAACACGCATGTAAGTACCTACAAAGTCTCGTGTTTTAACGCGCTCGGCAAAAAGAGCAATGCACGGCTTTCCATTAGAGGTTCACAGTATTTCGCGGAGAAGTATCTCGTCCTCTGCGTAAAAAGAAACAACTATTGTCTTTTATTCAAGGCTGCTTGTTCCTTGTACGTAACACGTAACATATACATATAATCGCTGCACTTAACATCCACATTTCTGTTAGGTGGAAACGTAACAAGGACAGTGATTTCTGTACACATATATTTCTCTAAGAAATTCCGGAAAAAACCTGAGGATTACAAATTGTAGCGTCGTCGTGCAATAATGTTTAACAGAAATTTGAGAAAAGAATCGACAGGTAAACGGAGTCATGTGTAACGCATTACCGAGAATACCTACTCATCACAGGTATCACCGTCAATTTCCATATTTCACGTAATCAGAATATTAAAAAAAAACGAGTGACTATTTCGAAGAAACTGAACGTTGACTTTTATTTAGGATCGACGAATCGAATCAGACACGAATGGAAGAAATGCGAAACTAGATGATCGAAGCGAACTCCTCGACTCTTTGAACCTAAGTCTGTGTGTCTTTCACGGAAGCTGGGCCGTCGAGTCGGCTGCTACAGGAAGGAAGGATTTCTTTACGGTGGTGGTGAACCTCGATAACCTCGAAGAGACCCGCCGGGTTTATTCGCAAACGCTTCGCGTTGTATCCGGACGGTGCCAGCATAATAAGATATAGGTCAAGTGCGGCTGGTACCATGTATCGCCATACTTGTAGTGGGGAAGGACGAAGACATACGCAGGTTATCGTTGTCGAATCGAAAGGGTTTCTTTATCTTCGTCTATTTCGAATACCGCCTGTTTGTCGGCTAATACTTAATACGAATTCATTCAAATCTTATTCAAAATTAAGGAGAGAACCGTTGGCTTACTAACTTTAATGAGAAGTGATTAATTATTAAAATTAAATGATATATCAACGTGATTATTTGATGCAATTGTAAAAGGAAAAGAATCACATCGGAATATTGTATTTTAACGTGAATGAAGCTAGACAGTTGTTTACGAGAAATAGTCAAAGTTAAAGTAATCGATGGCAGCATATAAAAAAAATTGGATTAACATTTACGTAAAAGTGTTTGAAGGATCGACGTGTAACCCTCTTAGGTATATGGCTTCGTATGTACCTACGTATATTGCGTAAGCAGTTGTTTGGAACATTTCAAAGTAGCTATAGATTGACAGTGAGCAACGCACTTTCTTTGAGAATATATTATGGTCCGGCTTGAGTGCAATAATCATTATAAATTTACAACCGTCTCTTATAATTGCAAGAAAGCAAAAATACGATATTATAGAATGTTCAATTCATGCATCATAGCGGAGTACCTATTTTATAGTATTACTAAAATTTTTAAATAATACATATTTAGTTTTATTGAAAATATACATGCATGATGATTTAAAGATTAACTAGTTTAACATGAAATTAAGATACATACATACATAACCGATAGTACCTGTGTTACTTTTATTTTATTTGCTGTTCACGACTGATCTTAACAATTTTCACGGGTAATTAGGTAAAATAATAGGTAAAATAATATTCTGAATTTAGAATTATGTACATTCACTCTGCGACCGAGTGCATATAAAAAATAATATATTAATTGATACATCTATTAACTAACATCTATTAATTAATGTATAATACATTCATAATATGGTATATTTACCGTGTTAGTCTTTTCATATCCAATGCATGCATGGTAATAATCGTCCATGGTCATTTATTATATCGTATTAGTAAATTAGTATAATTAATAGAGGAAATTGAAGAATAAAAAAAAATACATTGGATCGAATGAGATTCGATCGTGAGATTTCTAAATTACTTGTCCTTGCTAATCGTGTAGATCACCTCACCACCATGATACTGAAATGAAGAGCTTATATTACGCTACATCCATCGAGGTGTGAAATTTTAATTGTGTATATGTATCTACCTTAAAAACGTTCGAATATCTACAAAAGCAATTCTGAATTTCCTGCAAAACCACATCGAAATTTAAGTCGGACAATTCGTGTCCTTCCCTTGTTAGAATAAGTAGAAATAGAGGTAATTCGAAGTAGAAAGAGTAAGTAACAATAAGTATAATAGAAATACATAGTATGTAAGCATATATAAGAAGTCGTATTCGATAACATGAATACTCGATTTTCGAATCGTGTATTCACGGAGATCTCCAGGAATAATCTTATACATATATGTATACACGAGTAATTACATACTTTATTCTCTCCGTTGCGTGTCCTTGTTAATTTCGATAGGTATATGATTAAGTAACAATTCATCGAGGCCCATTCGCGCTTACAAATTCTTAATTTGAATTTTCGAAGGAAACACGCCGGTTATATGACGTCGCTCTTCACCATCGCGTGTCATTCACAGTACGGCTTATATCGATATTTATTGATAAATATACTCGGTGTACTTATAATAGAGTTGTACCACTTGAGCTACTTATTCTTCTAATTTATACGCATTCTTGGTATACGTTCACTAATATATAATCGAATTTAGCTCTAACGTTTGACCGTAGTTCGAGTTAGTTTAGACTCTGGTGAAAAGAAGGACGGTCAGGGTGCTCGATAGTTCTTCGGAGGGCGGCGATTCCCCGAGGCGATTCTCGGTGCTCCGGGCGGCATCGTCTTGTTCTACTCGTTGGAGACGGGAGCAGAACTCGAACTGGGTCAGGGCAGCGCGCCAAATGGTCGAATCAATTTTATTTTAAATTTATCAAGTCCGCTTCAGCTCCACGGACACGCGTGATCAGTTCAGATTTCCAGGCTGTGCATTCCGATTAAAATGGTGCCTTGTCTTTGTGATACGAAAAGTCGGAGAAAAAATGGCTGTAACTCGCAGAATTTCAGTTTTTTTGCAACTAATGTAAGATGCTGATTCTATTGTACGCATGATAAGAGTATGACAAAAAGGAAATTGCTAACGAAGAATATATATAGTGTATTGCAAGAAACTGAAATAAATAATGATTGCAACTGGAACGACAATATAAATACGAATTCTCAATTAGAAATTTAATTGTAAGTTCGTTTCAGAGTATTACAGGCATACCTCAAGATGATAATTCGAGAATAATGCTAGCACGTGAAAGGAAGATAAATTTCATAATCGATATTTAATTACTCATCGTGAACTATAATTATAACTTTTTTAATGAATTCCGAATTCAAGGAAGTATGTATGTACCTATATCGTTTTCTGTTAACCCGATTTGCAAGAGGAAGCGCGTAATATATCGCACCTGCAATGGACGGCCTTCCGCTGTCCTTCCTCTTCAACCGGAGAAACATTGAAATCTTCAGATATATCTTCGATACAATGGAACACTTTATTTCTGTTCCTCCCATTGTTCAACCGACCACGGTTTCTTGTTAGCGGTAGATCATTTCGATATAAGGTCGTGCAATTTTGTGTTGTAATCACCCGTTCAAATATCCTACAACTAACTACTTATTACTTTTAAGATCATTTCTATTGAACTTGTGACATGGAAATAATACAATTTATGCAGACCGTTTTGAAAAATAATAAGCGCGTATAAAAACGAGAAGTTTCGATTAATAAACGTATATACATATTGTAATTTGCTGATACAGAAGTGTTTATACATATGAATCATATTACATTACATATAATTGTAAATATAGAAAACAATCGAAATGTTAATATAACATCTTCTAAAATTGTGTAAATAGCGTATATTATATATCCAATCGCATATCAAGAACTCATGTACGTAGATATACTAATACATGCATATACCAATCGTACGTATTAAATAGAGGAAACGCTGTCAAATGTAGAATACTGAACAGTGGAGAACCACTGGAAATGTGTGAGTCAGGCAGAGTAAGGTCCAGTATAAGGCCCTGGGGTGATTCGCCTAGACGGCCATGACCATATTACAGGCCAAAGGCCTCCAAGCCAGTCAGAACGCTTCCAGTAACAATCGGCGAAATCATTGCCGGCAATTCAACACGCGTATTTACCACTCTAGAACCGGAGTATACAGAGGAAATATGTTTACACAACTGAATCGGAAATTACGTATGTCCTTTATTGTGAATAATATATGTTTAAACACACAATTTCAATATTTCGTCGAGTCTTATCGGTCTTATCCTCTCTTTGAGAACAACAGTAATTTAGAAAACTTTATAAGTAATACAGGAGTTATATTTATAAAACATTCTGAAATGTATAAGAATTATAATATTTATTAATCAATTCAGATTTCTTCACAGAATCGTGATTTCTATACAATACGCATATATTTGCATACGCAAATGCGTACACTTCATTTACACTTACATAAAAATTCAATTTGATCGTAATAAAGTTCGCAATGAAAATTTACATAAAAATTCAATTTGATCACACTTTTTTTAACGGAAAATTTACCGTCAGCGGTACTGTGGGCAATGTTGTTTTATAATTGACCTTGAAATATCTGCGTGTCCTGTAACATAAAAAATAAGTTGAAATTACTGTTTAACAAGGTTTTCCTTTGATATTGTTTACAATCAGAAGTTCTATTATAGTGTTACCTAATTGTAATTCTATGTACAAAGCTAACATTATTACGTGTATAGGGACGTCGCAGTCTGGACCTTTAGACATCCAAACCTGAAAAGGTTATTACAATATTTAGTAAAACTAATAGCAATAATAATCGAACAATATAGTTGCAAGTCTTTAGAAGTATGAATTACCTGTTTTAAGGTTTCTCCAGATCTGTCAAGTTCACCGCGGATTGCATAAGCTACAGCTAAATTATATCTCAATACAGCTATACCCGTAGGAACAGTTGCCGGGTACCACACTATAAATTACAATTAATAATTTTTTTAAATATAAATAATTTTAAAACAGAATCAAATGTTTGCAAGCTAGGCCTTACTTTTTATAGGTCTTGACACAAGTTCGTCGCTTTTCTCCTTATCCTGGCTTTCAGGAATAGGTACAAAAGTATTTAGATCTTGAATATTTTCTGGTTTAAGATACTCAATTGCTTCACTAATTTTGTCCATAAATATTAAACTTTCTGCAGCATAAAGATTTCCCAGCATTTTGTATGCTCCAGGCAATTTACTAATATTTAGTAGTGACTTGGCGTGTTCAAGAGCGACGACGTAGTCGCCAAGACATAAACATACGTAAGCGCTTGCTGCTAAAATACTTGTCTTTAAATTTAACGCTTCAACAGCTGAGACTTGTGACACTAAGCTTGAATGTTGAGCACCTGAAAAGTTATTTTTGTTAATTATTAATATATCAATTATATTATATGTTATTTTAAATGTTTTTTTTTTAACTTTCAATACCTAAGTTATGAGCAGGTGTTAATGTTAAAGGTACTGACTGTGGACCAGTAATTGTTGTAATCGGGACATTGAGTTCACTGGTACTTGGTAATAAAAACAATGCATTCTTTAAACATAGAGATGCAAATTCTAATGTTAACTGTGGTATAGCAGATGGAAAACCTTCGGAATGGTATTTTGTATCTTTGAAAAGTGAGGAAGCCAGAATAATTTTCCTATGAATGCCAGAACCAATGACTTTTTGTACTAAATCCTTTCTTCGTTTTGGAATGTTAAAATCGACTTCATTTGTCTGGAAATAGGGTAAAAATGACTTTTTCATTCTCAAATATATTATAATATAATTTGAATAAACTCACTTACTGGTTTGTGATTATAAATGCAGCATTCTGCAACTCTCAGCCAAAGTTTAGGATTATTATGAAGCTTCTGGGCAGCTTCCATAAAACAGTCAAATGCAACTGTTGCCTGACCTGCATGTAATAATGATACACCTAAACTGTACATTAACTTGTGATGTCTATTTCCACCAAGTGTATACAGTGGTTGCGCAGATAAAGGATCTACATAATCATAGTCTCTTTAGATAAAATGTTCTTAATATCCAAGTTCAAAATTACACAAGAAAATCTAAATATTATAATTACCACTGTCATTTGCTTGTACACTTTCTAAAGCACATTTGTTTTCATATAAAGCCTTTCTTAAATAGAAACAGGCTAAATTTGGTTTACCCATTGCAAGATGTATACATGCCATATTGTTATAGTATAAAACAACAGAAGACTCTCCAGAAGATCTAAAAGCATAAAAATGCATTCATATACACACTAATATAAACTAAAACAAAAATCTCACTTACTTAAAATCCAAATTTTCAGATGTTACAGAATTTAACAATTTGATAGCTGTTTTATAATTTCCTCTTAAGTATTCGAGATTAGCTTTCAAAAATACAGTTGATATATTCTGTGGGAAGAAACAAGACATTAAGTTAAAGTAAGGAACTTATTTAAAATAATATATTAAGAGAAAAAGAACAATTGTATCTTCTTACTACAGGTGTGCACAGAGATACTAGTGTCTTCCATTCTCTTCTACACAATTTCAATTGATGCATCTTAAGATAGATTCTAGCCTTACATTTCAATAATTTTACTTTAAATGCATCAGTAACTGTATCTGCTTCCTTTCTCTGTTCTTTTTGTTCTTTCATAGATTTCATTATACCTTCCTTATCAACAGATGCAATTTTAGAATTATCTGTTGATATCAGTTGACTTTCTATGTAATTTATTAAAGACAATGCTGCATCTGGCTGATCCACTATTATATGTAATTCTATTAAAAGCAGGCAAACTTTGTGTGCTAGTGATTCTTCTAAAAGAAAGTAAAACTAATATTTTATATAGCATTAGTGATTTAATTAATATGATTATATGTACATAACTATTTCTTACATACCCATAGGTTCTATAAAAGCAAATAGTCTATTCATAATTTGAAGCGCTGCATTATATTGTCTTGTGTGATATAATAGAACTGCTTGATTATACCGCATTACACACTTCTGAATATCATCTATGGTTTCAGTTGACCCAGTCATTGACATTTGTCCACAAATTGCATTCAAACTTTTCCTCAGCAACTCTGCTTTCTTGAAGTCATTTTTATAACATTCTACTATAACTTTATTGTGCATTACTTTTAGATCTTTGGGTCTGAGGGTTTCCAGCTTATTTAAATACAACAAGCAACTGCTGTATGCTCCTTTTTGAAATTCAGCAAGTGCATTCTGAGCTAATTCTTGCTCTTGCTCCGTTATAACTGCTGGACCAATATCCTTCTTTAGTATTTCATTTGTCTCACTCATTTTCATTTGGCACAAAAATAGTATTTATCACGTCATCAAATCCAACAAAATTATTGCAATTTTTCGTCGAAGTAGTTTAATGATGAGTATTTTCTTTGAGTTTTACATGACATTTATATACTTAGGTTAAATTTTCATTGACTAAATTGCAAAGCTCCTTATTTTTCTTCTAACTTGATTCATTAAAAAATAACGCAAACGATATTACAATAGACCAAACCTAGGTAACATTATATTCAGTTAACAATAACTGAGGTCATATATTTATGTACATAACCCTTTCATTTAACAGCTTGATAGCACTTCATATGGCTTGATATTTGAGAATATTTGACCATATTTGACTGATTGCACCATGGATTGTAGTGCCTGGTAGTGCCTCCTCACAGGTCACGGGTGTACAACCACCGACTAGGTATAGGATAGACCTATCATCTTATGGGACTTCGTGTCTCATGTTCTGAAATACCGATAGTGTAAAAAGTCAGGGATTTTCTGCTGCCCTCTACGTT